CTACAGTTCCCAGGACTCTTCAGACAAAGCAATATCCGTTAAATGTGCTTTAAATATATGGCACATCAGTGCACTATGCCAGCCATTTGGGGTTCCGTTTTCATTTAGCGGAGTCACCCAGAAATTCTTCCTGAATCTTCTTTCTCAGTTCAGCTCATCTGTTGGTGAATTCCCATGTGGGAATAAACACCTCACCCATTCCAGTTCTGCTTAAAGTATTTATTGAAGAATTAGCATGACAACTTATACAACTGCTGCACTGAGGAAAATAAAGTAAAACTAAGTACAGTGAATCATTCCTTCTCTGTGCTCCTCAGGCATCTGGGCAGAGCGACAGCCAGCCTGCTCTCATTCATAGCCTGTCTAATAAAGAAGTCTGTTGCTAAGGCAACCTGTTGCTGGGGAACACCTGTTGCTGGGGGGAAACATGTTGCCAAGGGCAAAACTATGCAATTTCAAGTCTATTTTTATCATAGTGCTTGGTTTGGCCAGCTGCACCTTTGTGGGACCAAGTGTCTGCTAAATACATATGCTTTAAATGTATGGCCTAGATGTGCTTTGGCAATGCTGAAGGGCACTAGTTTGGAAGCAAACTCAACTGGGTGGGGCCAGTGGTGTAGCGTGGGGGGTGCAGGGGGGGCCGGCCGCACCGGGCACATCATCTGGGGTTAGGGCAAATCCACAGGTTAGGGGGCGCAAATCCACGGGTTAGGGGGGTGCAAATTACTTGCCTTGCCCTGGGTGCTGACAACCCACGCTACGCCACTGGGTGGGGCGTCATCCACTTCAGCAAAGAAATTCTTGACTGTTTCTATATCATGGAGGAGACACAACCTGGTTTGAGCAAAAAGCTATAGAGTTTTGAGGAGAAAAATACACAGAGGCAGAATGGGCTAGAGAGCCAGAACTGGGTCTCATTAAGAAGGGGAAGTGGTTCCTAATGCCTTTTTTCTAGAAAATGTGGTGCCAGAACTCATCAACAGCTCCCTTGTTCTCCTAACAATGGCCATGGCGCCCACCTGAGAGGTGCTGGAACTGAGTTCTGGATCAAAAAAAGCTGCAAGAGTTAGCATGGGCAGGGGGGCGAGGGGGGGCCAGGATCCCAGGATCGCACAGGAAAGGCTCCCACTTACCTACCACCTTCAGCTCAATATCCTGACTGATTGGGTCTTTCGCTGCCTGGTGTTGGATGTGGCATGAGAAGGTGACACCAGCGTCTGAGATTTGTGGTATGAACTCCAGGACACTCTCTGCATAGAAGTGGTAATTGGCCTCAAGCTTGGCAGGGGGCGAGTCAACTTTCAGAGTCTCACTGCCTCGCAGCCACTTCACAGAGACACGGCCAGGGTAAAAGTCGGATGCTGCACACGTCAAATTGATTGGTTTTCCCAGCGGCACTTCTGTGGGGCCGAGTGTTAGGCGTGGGGGAGCTGGAGGGAGAGAGGAGAGTTAGGAGAGCATCTCCTTGGACAGCTTAAAGGGTGCTGGGAACTGTAGCTCCGTGAGCAGCAGGCTGCAGTTCCCAGGATTCTTCACCGGAAGCCACATGAGTTAAGTGTGCTTTAAATGTATAGCATGGATGTGACTTCCCTCTTCCCTTCCACAGTAAAAGGAAACTCTCAGTACAAGGAAGCTGGCGCAGAAGTGATGGTGGAAAACATGCACTGGGAATTTGCAGTTCAAATCTCACCTTGCCCATGAGCTCATTAGGTGGCCTTTACGTTACTCACTATCCTCTTAGCCCCAAGTCCTGCCTGGCCTGCCCCCAAATGCAGTATGAGCTGCAGTCCTGTATCTCCACTATGCCATTCCTCAAGGTCTGGGAAACTGTCCCGCTTGGACTACTGCAATGCGCTCAACGTGGGGCTACCTTTGAAGGTGACCTGGAAACTACAACTAATCCAGAATGCAGCAGCCAGACCTGTGACTGGGAGCTGCTGCTGAGACCACATAACACAGGTCTTGAAAGACCTACATTGGCTCCCAGTACGTTTCTTTTCTTCTTTTTTTAAAAATATTTATTCAAGATTTTAAACATTATCACCAAACACATATAAACCCATCCCCAAAATACAGTAAACAAAGAAAAACACACAAAGAAGAAAAACATACAACATCAAAATAAAATCCTTAATATCCATACTTTCTTCACCTTTTTAGACTTCCTCGCGTCTCTCGTTCCTGCATTCCAAATTTATAAAGTTCTAAACAGCAAATTATCACCTTGTTTCAATTCTTATTTTGTATTTTTCCAATATTAAGTCTCTAGTTTTAACTACATTAACCAAAAGCTTGAATATTTAATTTAGGCATAATATTAACTCCAAATTTAACTTTTTCTCAGATTTCACCTATTCTCAAATTCCTTTCAACTAACTTACTGATGCCACATTTATTTTTATTCTTGCATCTTTCTTAACACTCATACAATTTACAATGTTTTTGTAAGTAATCCTTGAATTTCTTCCAATCCTCTTCCACTGCTTCTTCTCCCAGGTCGCGGATTCTGCCAGTCATTTCTGCTAATTCCATATAGTCTATCAGTTGCATCGGCCATTCTTCCAGCGTGGGCAAATCTTGGGTTTTCCAATGTTTAGCTATAAGTATCCTTGCTGCTGTTGTTGCATACATAAAAAATGTTAGATCCTTCTTTAACACCCTCTGGCCAACAATGCCCAGAAGCAAGGCCTCTGGTTTCTTAGGAAAGGTATACTTAAATACCTTTTTCAACTCGTTGTATATCATTTCCCAGAAAGCCTTAACCCTAGGGCAAGTCCACCAGAGGTGAAAGAACGTTCATTCAGTTTCTTTACATTTCCAACATTTGTTATCAGGCAGGTGATATATTTTTGCAAGCTTGACTGGGGGCATGTACCACCTGTATATCATTTTCATAATATTTTCTTTTAAGGCATTACATGCCGTAAACTTCACACTGGTGGTCCATAACTTTTCCCAATCAGCAAACATAATATTGTACCCAATGTCCTGTGCCCATTTTATCATAGCTGATGGCTCCCAGTACGTTTCTGAGCACAATTAAAAGTGTTGGTGCTGACCTTTAAAGCCCTAAATGGCCTTGGCCCAGTGTACCTGAAGGAGCGTCTCCACCCCCATTGTTCAGTTTGGACTCTGAGGTCCAGCGCTGAGGGCCTTCTAGCGGTTCCCTCCCTGCGAGAAGTGAGGTTACAGGGAACAAGACAGAGGGCCTTCTTGGTAGTGGCGCCCTGTGGAGCACCCTCCCATCAGATGTCAAGGAAATAGGCAACTATCTGATGTTTAGAAGACATCTGAAGGCAGCCCTATTTAAGGAAATTTTTAATGTTTGATCGCTTTATCATTATCATTATTCTGTTGAAAGCTGCCCAGAGTGGCTGGGAAAACCCACCTAGATGGGCAAGGTATAAATGATGATGGTGGTGGTGGTGATCATCATCATCATCATCAAAATAGGGCTCTGTCAGGTCTGTTTGGCCCGGAGTTAACATGAAGTGCTTCATAGGATGTGCTTTAAAATGGTATTTTACATCAAGGACTTTAATGTGAAATATGTTTAGTGCTTTAAAAAAGGTTTTCCGCCCGCCGCCTTGCATCCCTTACCTTCTAATTTCAATGTCACCTTCCCTTCAGCAACGTCAGGAGTATGGCTAACAGAACACATATACTCCCCAGCATCCTCGCCTCTTACATCTGTGAGACAGAGGCTGGCATTGCCCTCTCGCAGCCACTGCAAATTAAGCACTGCTCCCCTCGGTCTAAAGATTGAAATGCTCCCATGCCACATTATAATGGTTCTTCCTCTCAGCGACCATTTCACAACCAGGGCAGAAACGTTTATGGTCCTGGGAGGGTCAAAAGTATAATAGCAAGGCAGGAATGCATTAGTGCGTGGCCCTGCCTGGACTGGGGATGAAGGGACTTGGATTATCACGACTGCCCCTGAAAAGGACAAAGAGATACAGTTAGACTGTAATTAGACAGGACCTCCATCACAGGCTAAAGCCATCATAAACCACTTTTAACTTTTAAGATTCCTGCAGACCGTAGTTATGCAAAATGGGATTCCTGAAGTCCTTTGGTTAAAAAAACAAAACAAAACCAGGCTGGTTAGAGGAGTTTGAGGACTAGTTTAAATCTGAATGCAGGACGCGACTTTGACTGCTCAAAAAAAGTAACCATCCACTGTGGGCGCTAGGGGAGGGGGAGTACCTCTGGTGTGGGACACGTCAAGCTCTTTCTGGGGTGGCTTGTCCAACTTTGGTCCTCAGTCTGCTCTCAGCTCTCACCTGTGGCCATTATTATTATTATTATTATTATTATTATTATTATTATTATACCGCCCTATACCCAGAGGTCCCAGGGCAATTCACATAAAAAGAGCCAAGAAGCTGTCAGCAGGCGATAGCGGCCACACCCAGGGAAAGGCTTCGACTGGATGGCTAAATGAGGTGAGGGTAGCTAACGTGTCTCAAACCCTCAGTGGGTTAAGAGATTTCCATTGCGTGTGAAGACAAGTTCCAGCTATAGAGGGAAGTGAGGGGCAGATGGGGCTCGTCAATCTGGGAAGGTGGCCCATCTAGGAGAAGGAAAAAACTCCCTTGTGGGACATCTTCAGCAATGGCTAAGGAGCAAACCCTACACAAATCTGGAGTGGAGTCCCTTAGGCAGTTGGATGGCGCCTTGTACCCCTACTTCCGGCAACTCTTGAGCCAAGCTGGTACCAAATGTATTGCTCTGGTCTGCTTTGCCTTATACTGAATCAGACAATCGGTCCACCTAGGCCAGTACTCTCTACACTGACTGGCAGAGGTTCTCCAGGGTTTCAGACAGGAAACCTCTCCTGGTCCTTCTAGGACTAGGCCGCCTGGCCGCCCGCTTCCCGGCTCCTGCTGGTCTTTGCGAAGCCGCCTCTCCCTCCCTCCCTCCTCCTCCATTGCCCTAGCCCCCAGGAGCCCCCCCCCAACTGGCAAGGGTCCTCCAGGTGAGGGGCTGTGACTTACATGCACCCTGCAAGGAGAGCAGCAAACACGAGAAGCTGGACATTTTGGGGCCGCCTTGTTTACTTTGTATTCTCCAGAAAGGATGCGAGAGCAATATGCACCTGAGAGACAAAAGTTCCGTTGAACTGTGACTCCCGGGTGTCAGATCAAAACATTCTGCTTTTAAGCAAGCCAGCCCAGATGGGCGTGTAGAAGTTGGGCGTGTTTCGTTTCTTTTTACAAAAACCTCGGTTTTCGAACGCAATCCGTTCCGGAAGACCGTTTGAGTTCCAAAATATTCAAAAACCGAAAACTCAATACGGAAGCATCAATACAATAGGGAAACTCAAAACGGAAGCCATGTGGTATGTTTGACTTCTGAAAAGTGTTCAAAAACTGAAGCAGTTACTTCCAGCATTTGAGTTCCGAAACGTTTGTCAACGGAGAAGTTTGAAAACCAAGGTTCCACTGCAGTTTATACTGGTGATTTCAAAGTCTCCTTTGCATATTTTAAAATAATGTTCTTCACGATGTTCTGTTTGATATTTTTGTGAGCCGCTTAGAGGTTTTCTTAAAACCGAGTGGTATATACGAATGTTGTTATATAATTTAAAATAGAATGTGTTTACACCTGCTTTTAAAAAGTGGTTGCCGAGGGGATAACGTCACTTAGTTTTTCGATGTCTGATCAAGCGCCGTGTTCTCAAAACTTTCTGCTTCCGGCCTTGAGGATTATTGAGGCCTAACAGTCACAAAATGGCAGGGCAGAGGCAGAGCAGGTCACAAACTAGAGGCAGAGTTTGCCATAAGCAGCTGGCAGTCACAGATCTCCTTTTCTCTTCAGAATGATTTGTAGTGGCCCAAAGCTTATTAGGGAGCCCATAAGTGCCAACTCCCTGGGTCCCTGTGTGCCCCAGCACCCACAAATTCCCCATGAAGGGGCCGGGCACCCACAAATTTTGGTGCATGTGGGCATTGGGACAGTGCACTGTTCCCCAAAGCAGCATTGAGCCCCTGGGCATAATATAATGGTGTTTCAAGGACAGATGATTTCATAGAATAGTGGAACTGACGAGTTGGAAAGGACCCCGAGGGCCGTCTAGTAGAACCTCCTGCTTTGCAGGAATCTTTTGCCCAACGTCAGGCACTGGTGCTGTCAATTATTTTCTCCTACATCAGAATTACTACAAATTTTGGGATTTATTTATTTTTTAAACACTTTATTGAAATCTGTTTTTCCATACAGAATTCAGAACACAAAAAAAACAAGAAACATAACTTGGAACAGGTGAAGCTAAAGTATAGCCATACAGATAATGCAGCGTATTAGGCAAAAAACTAAAGGAGAAAAGAAATCATATTACACACAAACTGGGACAGGGAGGGCAATGATGGGGAAAGAGGAGAGGCAGAATGGAGGATGTGTTGGTGAAGCAGCACAAGGCAGGATTGAACCCTCTTGCTCTCGATGCTCCAGTCAGAGCGGGGAGGCAAGGAGATGCAGATTCTTGTTCCCCAACCTGCCTCCTGACATAAAGGGTTTATTAACCTTAATTAAACATTAAACGAACCCTCAAGCTAGGCACTCTTTTGTATGTCACAACACAACTGGTCATCAGTATGAAGATCAGGCTGGATCAGGTGTTCCTTGGGCTCGTTTGGGGCCCTGAGTTGGGAGAGGCACAGCCCTGAAACTAACAAATTATAATATCCATCTTAAAAGCCTCAACATCCCTTGGTTTCTTTGAATTCCCAAAGAGTGCAGAGCTCTACTATATGTATATAATTTCAGAATGGAAGGTTGAATTTAAATTATTTAAATCGTCTTGACTTTAAAACGAAGCCTCCTGCAATTATCATACTAGAAATGCATTTTTAAGGAAATACATAATGAAATGGAACAATATTGCATTGCCTGGAACAACCCTGTGCCAAAATTTCATTCCGTGGACTGTTAAATAACCAAAACATTATCTTGATTTTCCCTCCTGACTTTCGACGTCTTCTTCAGGAGGGTTTGGTCATTCAGTTCAGCTTGCTTATACTTGGCTGCCAGGAGAGAGAGAGAACGCAATAATCAGGTTCCTCCAAACTGCAGTCTGCAGTCCCGTGCCCCAGCACTGCAGCTTTGCCTCCCCACTGACTCTGCTGCCCTTTCTGCCACCACTCCCAGCAGCCCCAACTCACCTCTGCGCCTTTGGTACATCAACGTCGCTCCAATTCCCATGCCAAGTCCCACAAGGTGTCCCAGAGATCCTAGAAGCCAAGTCAACGGTGATCCAAAGTATCCTGGAGCTGGAGGAGAGTCAGTTGGAGATGCAGGTTTAAGTTTTGGACAATGTGATTTGGTACTACATTCTGGGGATGAGGGCTGGGTAATTCCATTTCCCTCACCTTCTGGCTCCCAGGAGATCATCTCCTCCAGTGGTGCCTCCAGTGCTTCATGTTGTACCTGGCAGGTATAACTGGCTGCAAAATGGCCCTGCTGTGGGAAGAAGACGCTTCCAGTTGAGAACGTCCCATTAGGATTTTGTTCAACTTCAGACTCGTATATTCCCGCTTGTACCGGCTCCCCATTTTGCAGCCACTGCACTGTAACACTTTGTGGGTAAAACCCACACACTAGGCACTCAGCTACAAAGAACGTCTTCCCTGGTGGCCTGGTGAGCATATGAAGTTCTGGGTGAGCTGTAAGGAGAGGAAAGAGGTGTTGAGGTCCTGCAAGTCTGGTGATGGCCAATAGAGGGAGACACTGCAGATTATAAAGGCAACCCACCTAACAGTCTCTGAACAGTCCACAGTTGTATGAAATGCATTACACAAGAGTAGCTCAGCACCAGAATATTTGCCTTGCATGCAGAAGGTCTCAGGTTCAATCTCTTCCTGCAGCCAATCAGAAGCTGCTCTTTTGTTTCCAAAAATTTTGGAAGTCGAACAGACTTCTGAAGTGGATTCGGTTCAACTTCCAAGGTACGACTGTATTTTTAGTCAGACCTATGCGCTCCCTTTAAAGGGAGTAAAAATGCCATTCTAGTCCATCACAGCCTGTAGGGGAAGAGGTCAATGGAGGTGCCAGACAGACCTCACTACAGGTCCTGTGAGGGAAGGACAGGGAAAGTGTGGCTCTCCAATGTCCTTTGACTACAACTCCCATCATCCTGACCAATGGCTTCTCTGCCCAGGTCTGACGGGAGCAGGAGCCCATCCACATCTGGAGGGTCACAGGCTCCCCATCTCTGAAAATAGGGTACATTACGCCTTTTTGCTAATTATAGTGCCATGTTAAGTAGTGTGTGAAGCCCAGTGGCGTAGCGTGGGGGGTGCAGGGGGGGCCGGCCGCACCGGGCGCAACATCTGGGGTTAGGGCAAATCCACGGGTTAGGGGGCGCAAATCCACAGGTTAGGGGGCGCAAATCCACGGGTTAGGGGGTGCAAATTACTTGCCTTGCCCCGGGTGCTGACAACCCACGCTACGCCACTGGTGAAGCCACCATTTTAATGTGATTTCCAGCTGATTTGCAGGAAAGCGGTGCCTTAGCAATCATGAGGGGCCCGAGTGTGGAAGCAAATTTAACTCGGTGGGCCTTCACCCACCTCAGCAGATACGTTCTTGCAGGATTCTTTATCATGGAGCAGACACTACTGTTTAGAGCAAAGGGATACAGAGTTTTGAGGAGGAAAATAAGCAGAGGCAGAACAGGGTAGAGAGTGCGAGTCACAAATGATTCTCACTAAGGGGGAACTGTGCTTAGCATGGGCATTTCAGGACTCCAGGGTTGCACAGGAAAGGCTCCCACTTACCTACCACCTTCAGCTCAATATCTTGACGGATTGGGTCTTTTGCTGCTTGGTGTTGGATGAGGCATGAGAAGGTGACACCAGCGTCTGAGATTTGTGGTGTGAACTCCAGGACACTTTGTGCATAGAAGAGGTAATTGGGCCCACGCTTGGCAGGGGGTGAGTCAACTTTCAGAGTCTCACTGCCTCGCAGCCACTTCACAGAGACGCTGTCGGGGTAAAAGTCGGATGCTGTACATGTCAAAGTGCTTGGTTTTCCCAGCGGCACTCCTGTGGGGCCGAGTGTTAGGCGTGGGGGAGCTGGAGGGAGAGAGGAGAGTTAGGAGAGCATCTCCTTGGGCAACTTAAAGGGTGCTGGGAACTGTAGCTCCGTGAGCAGCAAGCTGCAGTTCCCAGGATTCTTCACCGGAAGCCACACGAGGTAAATGTGCTTTGAATGTGTGGCATGGATGTGACTTCCCTTCCACAGTAAAAGGAAACTCTCAGTACAAGGAAGTTGGCGTAGAAGTCATGGTTGAAAACATGCACTAGTAATCTGCAGATCAAATCTCACCTTGCACATGAACTCATTAGGTGGCCTTTAAATTACTCACTATCCTCTTAGCCCCAAGTCCTGCCTGGCCCGCCCCCAGTGGCGTAGTGTGGGTTGTCACCACCCGGGGCAAGGCAAGTAATTTGCGCCCCCTAACCCGTGGATTTGTGCCCCCTAACCTGTGGATTTGCCCTAACCCCAGATGTTGCGACCGGCCCCCCCTGCACCCCCCACGCTACGCCACTGCCCGCCCCCAAATGCAGTAAGAGCTGCTGTCCTGTATCTCCACTATGCCATCCCTCAAGGTCTGGGAAACTGTCCCGCTTGGGCTACTGCAATGCACTCTACGTGGGGCTACCTTTGAAGGTGACCTGGAAACTACAGCTAATCCAGAATGCGGCAGCTACACTAGTGACTAGGAGTGGCGACCGAGACCGTATAACACCAGCCCTGAAAGACCTACATTGGCTCCAGTACATTTCTGAACACACTTCAAAGTGTTGGTGCTGCCCTTTAAAGCCCTAAACGGCCTTGGACCAGTATACCTGAAGGAGCATCTCCACCCCCATCATTTAGCCCAGACTCTGATGTCCAGCGCTGAGGGCCTTCTGGTGGTTCCCTCCCTGCAATAAGTGGGGTTACAGGGAACCAGGCAGAGGGCCTTCTCAGCAGTGGCATCCGTCCTGTGGAATACCCTCCTATCAGATGTCAAGGAAACAAACAACTATCTGACTTTTAGAAGACACCTTAAGGCAACCCTGCTTAGGGAAGTTTTTAATGTTTGATATTTTATTGTGTTTTTAATATTCTGTTGGGAGCTGCCCAGAGTGGCTGGGGAAACCCACCTAGATGGGTGGGGTATAAATAAATAAATGGTGATGATATTTGTCAAAGCGTGCTTTTGTCAAGCCTCTCTTGAGAGGTCACATCTCAGTTCTGTAGCACCACCACAAAGGAGGCCCTGCTCTGTTCCCTTACAATGAACATCTCTTAATGATGGAACATGAAACTGCAGCTCTCCCCAAAACCTCATCTCCTGAGGAGTAGGCTTGAATGCGAGCTGGTGTTCCCTGTAATACACGACCCTAACCAATTTAGGATATCAAGATATGCATCTTGAAAAATGCTGGGAAGTATAATGGCAGCCAACACAGCTGAGAGAGAACCAGTGTTATGTGCTTCATATAGGCAAATTCCTTCCGAGGGAGCACCGTGAGACCCAAATTATAAGTATTTATTTATTTAAAAATTTCTGGCCCACACCATCAGCAGCCATATTGTCTCATTGGCCAGAAAGCTAATTCATATAAAAGATAAAAATACAATATTTACACCATACAAAATAAAAACCATTAAACCACAGTTGCAGCAGTTCAAGAAACGGAACTGTACAAATTGCAATTCTGATACCCACTTACCTGGGAGTAAGCTTCAGTTAACTCAGCTGGACTTTTAGGACCACGCTGTAAGCATTCAGCAAATAAGCATTTCTAAAGCCAGAGAAGGCAAGGTAGTATTGCATGGAGCCTAAAATATCTCGATGTGGGAGCTAGGCAGGCTGCCCTGGAGCATGACAAAGGCAAGGAGCCACCATTGAAAAGGATCTCTTGCTGGTCATCATGTGTCATCGTGAAGCTGGTTGTGGTACCCAGAGAAAGGATTTCCACAGGTAGGTTTATTCCAATGACAGATGTAGAAGGGGCAGGTCTTGGCTTTAGCATCCTAGTTTAGCTGCCCTGTTCTGGTGCAGTGTGTGGGGTCTGTCTTACAGAAAAGTGAACATAGAGGTGTTCCTCTCTACACCTCTCTATTCCAATGCCTCCAGCATGGTTCAAATCTGGTTATCAGAGCTGGGCTGGGAGAAAAGTGCTTCAAGCAACGGACCATAGGGAGCCAAGGCAAGGGTGCAGAGCGGCGTTGAGCAACTGCACATTTTATTCTCTTGTAGAAATAGACACAGCCCAGCTGCTTAATATCACAATGAGGCAGATACATGAATAAAACTAGGGCCCTGTCAGGTCTGTTTAGCCTGGAGTTAACGTGAAGTGCTTCAAAGGATGTCCTTTAAAATGGTATTTACATCAAGGACTTTAATGTGAAATATGTTTGGTGCTTTAAAAAAGGTTTTCCACCCGCCGCCTTGCCTCCCTTACCTTCTAATTTCAATGCCACCTTCCCTTCAGCACTGTCAGGAGTATGGAGAACAAAACACGTATACTCCCCGGCATCCTCCTCCCTTACGTCCGAGAGGTAGAGGGTGGCGTTTCCCTCTGGCAGCCGCGTCGCATCAAGCACTGCTCCCCTCGGTCTAAACACTGTGATGCTGGTATCGAACTTTGCAATGTTTTTTCCTCTCAGCGACCATCTCACAATCAGGAAATCAACGTTTATGGGCCTGGGAGGGTCTAAGGAGAAGTGGCAAGGCAGGGATACATTAGAGTGTGGCCCTGCCTGGACTGGGGATGAAGGGACTTGGATTATCACGGCTGCCCCTGAAAAGGACAAAGAAATACTGTTAGACTGTAATTAGACTGGACCTCCATCGCAGGCTAAAGCCATCATAAGCCAGTTTTAACTTTTAAGATTCCTGCAAACTGTAGTTATGCAAAAAAGGGAATCCCAAAGCCCTTTGGTAAAAAAAACCAGGCTGGTTAGAGGAGTTTGAGGACTAGTTTAAATCTGAATGCAGGATGCGCCTTTGACTTCTCAAAAAAAGTAACTATCTACTGTGGTGTATGGGGCGCTAGGGGAGGGGGAATACCTCTGGTGTGGGACACGTCAAGCTCTTTCCGGGGTGGCTTGTCCAACTTTGGTCCTCAGTCGTCACTCAGCTCTCACCTGTGGCTATTATTATTATTATTATTATTATTATTATTATTATTATTATTATTCCGGCCTATACCCAGAGGCCTCAGGGCAATCCACATAAAAAGAGCCAAGAAGCTGTCAGCAGGTGATAGCAGCCACTCCCTGGGAAAGGCTTCGACTGGATGGCTAAATGAGGTGAGGGTAGCTAACGTGTCTCAAACCCTCAGTGAGTTAAGAGATCTCCCCTGCGTGTGAAGACAAGTTCCAGGTATAGAGGGAAGTGAGGGGCAGATGGGGCTCGTCAATCTGGGAAGGTGGTCCATCTAGGAGAAGGAAAAAACTCCCTTGTGGGACATCTTCAGCAAAGGTTAAGGAGCAAACCCTACACAAATCTGGAGTGCAGTCCCTTAGGCAGTTGGATGGCGCCTTGTACGCCTCCTTCTGGCAAATCCTGAGCCAAGCTGGTACCAAATGTATTGCTCTGGTCTGCTTTGCCTTATACTGAATCAGACCATCAGTCCACCTAGGCCAGTACTCTCTACACTGACTGGCAGAGGTTCTCCAGGGTTTCAGACAGGAAACCTCTCCTGGTCCTTCTAGGACTAGGCCGCCTGGCCGCCCGCTTCCCGGCTCCTGCTGGTCTTTGTGAAGCCGCCTCTCCCTCCCTCCCTCCTCCTCCATTGCCCTCGCCCCCAGGAGCCCCCCCAACTGGCAAGGGCCCTCCGGGTGAGGGGATGCGACTTACATGCACCCTGCAAGGAGAGCAGCAAACACGAGAAGCTGGACATTTTGGGGCCGCCTTGCTTACTTTGTATTCTCCAGAAAGGATGGGAGCGCAATGTGCACCTGAGAGACAAAAGTTCAGTTGAACTGTGACTCCCGGGTGTCAGATCAAAACATTCTGCTTTTAAGCAAGCCAGCCCAGATGGGCGTGTAGAAGTTGGGCGTGTTTCGTTTCTTTTTACAAAAACCTCGGTTTTCGAACGCAATCCGTTCCGGAAGACCGTTTGAGTTCCAAAATATTCAAAAACCGAAAACTCAATACGGAAGCATCAATACAATAGGGAAACTCAAAACGGAAGCCATGTGGTATGTTTGACTTCTGAAAAGTGTTCGAAAACTGAAGCAGTTACTTCCAGCATTCGAGTTCCGAAACGTTTGTCAACGGAGAAGTTTGAAAACCAAGGTTCCACTGCAGTTTATACTGGTGATTTCAAAGTCTCCTTTGCATATTTTAAAATAATGTTCTTCACGATGTTCGGTTTGATATTTTTGTGAGCTGCTTAGAGGTTTTCTTAAAACCGAGTGGTATATATGAATGTTGCTATATAATTTAAAATAGAATGTGTATACACCTGCTTTTAAAAAGTGGTTGCCGAGGGGATAACGTCACTTAGTTTTTCGATGGCTGATCAAGTGCCGTGTTCTCAAAACTTTCTGCCTTGAGGATTATTGAGGCCTAACAGTCACAAAATGGCAGGGCAGAGGCAGAGCAGGTCACAAACTAGAGGCAGAGTTTGCCATAAGCAGCTGGCAGTCACAGATCTCCTTTTCTCTTCAGAATGATTTGTAGCGGCCCAAAGCTTATTTGGGAGCCCATAAGTGCCAACTCCCTGGGGCCCTGAGTGCCCCAGCACCCACAAATTCCCCATGAAGGGGCCAGGCACCCACAAATTGTGGTGCATGTGGGCATTGGGATAGTGTGCTGTTCCCCAAAGCAGCATTGAGCTCCTGGGCATAATTTAATGCTGTTTCAAGGACAGATGATTTCATAGAATAGTGGAATTGAAGAGTTGGAAAGGACTCCGAGAGCCGTCTAGTCCAATACACTGCATTGCGAGAATCTTTTGCCCAACGTCAGGCACTGGTGCTGTCAATGAGTTTCTCCTACTTCTGAATTACTACAAATTTGGGGTTTATTTATTTTTTGAACACTTTATTGAAATCTGCATTTCCATACAGAATTCAGAACACAAGAAAACAAGAAACATAACTTGGAACAGGTGAAGCTAAAGTATAGCCATACAGATAATGCAGCGTATAAGGTGAAAAACTAAAGGAGAAAAGAAATCATATTACACACAAACTGGGACAGGGAAGGAAATGATGGAGAAAGAGGAGAGGCAGCCTGGGGAATGTGTTGGTGAAGCAGCACCAGGCAGGATTGAACCCTCTTGCTCTCGATGCTCCAGTCAGAGCGGGGAGGCAAGGAGATGCTACTTCTTGTTCCCCAACCTGCCTCCTGACATGAAGGGTTTATTAACCTTAATTAAACAGTAGCCCAACCCTCAAGCTAGGCACTCTTTTGTATGTCACAACACAACTGGTCATCAGTATGAAGATCAGGCTGGATCAGGTGTTCCTTGGGCTCGTTTGGGGCCCTGGGTTGGGAGAGGCACAGCCCTGAAACTAACAAATTATAATATCCATCTTAAAAGCCTCAATATTCCTTGGTTTCTTAGAATACCCGAAGAGTGCAGAGCTCTACTATATGTATATAATTTCAAAATGGAAGGTTGAATATAAATGATTTAAATCGCCTTGACTTTAAAACGAAGCCTCCTGCAATTATCATACTGGAAATGCATTTTTAAGGAAATACATAATGAAATGGAACAATATTTCATTGCCTGGAACAACCCTGTGCCAAAATGTCATTCCGTGGACTGTTAAATAACAAAAACTTCATCTGGATTTTCCCTCTTGACCTTCGACATCTTCAGGAGGGTTTCGTCATTCGGTTCAGTTTGCTTATACTTGGCTGCTGAGAGAGAGAGAGAACACAATATTCAGGTGCTTCCAAACTGCAATCTGCAGTCCCGTGCCCCAGCACTGCAGCTTTGCCTCCCCACGGACTCTGCTGCCCTTTCTGCCACCACTCCCAGCATCCCCAACTCACCTCTGCGCCTTTGGTACATCAACATCGCTCCAACTCCCATGCCAAGTCCCACAAGGTGTCCCAGAGATCCTAGAAGCCAAGCCATCGGTGATCCAAAGTATCCTAGAGATGGAGGAGAGTCAGTTGGAGATGCAGGTTTAAGTTTTGGCCAATGTGATTTGGTACTACATTGTGGGGATGAGGGGTGGATAATTCCCTGACACCCTCACCTTCTGGCTTCCAGGGGATCGTCTCCTCCAGTGGTGCCTCCAGTGCTTCATGTTGTACCTGGCAGGCATAACTGGCTGCAAAATGGTCCTGATTTGGGAAGAAGACGCTTCCGGTTGAGAACGTCCCGTTAGGATTTTGTTCAAGTTCAGACTCGTATATTCTCCCTTGTATCGGCTCCCCATTTTGCAGCCACTGCACTGTAACATTTTGTGGGTAAAACCCACACACTAGGCACTCCGCTACCAAGAACCTCTTCCCTGGTGGCCTGGTGAGCATATGAAGTTCTGGGCGAGCTGCAAGGAGAGGAAAGAGATTTGAGGTCTTGCAAGTCTGGTGAAGGCCACTAGATTATAAAGGCAACCCACCTAACAGTCTCTAAAGGCCACAGTTGTATGAAATGCATTACACAAGAGCAGCTCAGCAACAGAATATTTGCCTTGCATGCAGAAGGTCTCAGGTTCAATCTCTTCCTGCAGCCAATCAGAAGCTGCTCTTTTGTTTCTAAAAATTTTGGAAGTCGAACAGACTTCTGAAGTGGATTCGGTTCAACTTCCAAGGTACGACTGTATTTTTAGTCAGACCTATGCGCTCCCTTTAAAGGGAGTAAAAATGCCATTCTAGTCCATCACAGCCTGGGGGGGGGGGAAAGGTCAATGGAGGCGCCAGACGGACCTCACTACAGGTCCTGTGAGGGAAGGAAAGGGAAAGTGTGGCTCTCCAATGTCCTTTGACTACAACTCCCATCATCCTGACCATTGGCTTCTCTGCCCAGGTCTGATGGGAGCAGGTGCCCATCCACATCTGGAGGGTCACAGGCTCCCCATCTCTGAAAATGGGGTACATTACGCCTTTTTGCTAATTATAGCGCCATGTTAAGTAGTGTGTGAAGCCACCATTTTAATGTGATTTCCAGCTGATTTGCAGGAAAGTGGTGCCTTAGCAATCATGAGGGGCCCTAGTGTGGAAGCAAATTTAACTGGGTGGGCTTTCATCCACCTTAGCAGATAAGGTCTTGCAGGATTCTTTATCATGGAGCAGACACTACTGTTTAGACCAAAGGGATACAGAGTTTTGAGGAGGAAAATAAGCAGAGGCAGAACAGGGTAGAGAGTGCGAGTCAGAACTGGGTCTCACTAAGGGGGAACTGTGCTTAGCATGGGCATTTCAGGACTCCAGGCTACACAGGAAAGGCTCCCACTTACCTACCACCTTCAGCTTAATATCTTGACGGATTGGGTCTTTTGCTGCTTGGTGTTGGATGTGGCATGAGAAGGTGACACCAATGTCGGAGATTTGTGGTGTGAACTCCAGGACACTCTCTGCATAGAAGAGGTAATTGGTCCCACGCTTGGCAGGGGGCGAGTCAACTTTCACAGTCTCACTGCCTCGCAGCCACTTCACAGAGACACCGGCAGGGTAAAAGTCAGATGCTGTACATGTCAAATTGATTGGTTTTCCCAACGGCACTTCTGTGGGGCCGAGTGTTAGGCGTGGGGGAGCTGGAGGGAGAGAGGAGAGTTAGGAGAGCATCTCCTTGGGCAACTTAAAGGGTGCTGGGAACTGTAGCTCCGTGAGCAGCAAGCTGCAGTTCCCAGGATTCTTCACCGGAAGCCACATTTAAGTGTGCTTTAAATGTTTGGCATGGATGTGACTTCCCTCTTCCCTTCTGCGATAAAAGGCAACTCTTAGTACAAGGAAGTTGGCGTAGAAGTCATGGTTGAAGCACGCATTGGAATCTGCAGATCAAATCTCACCTTGCCCATGAACTCATTAGGTGGCCTTTAAGTTACTCACTATCCTCTTAGCCCCAAGTCCTGCCTGGCCCGCCCCCAAATGCAGTAAGAGCTGCAGTCCTGTGGGGGCCACCAGGTGGCGCGTTGGAAGATGGCTGACAATAACATCTCTCTGACCCATATGAGGTACTAAGGGGCTGCTATGGGAAATATGCAGCCTTCCTAAGCCCCCCCAGGATGTGGGGGGGGCTCTGCCCTGCCAGCGGTGTTCACAATGCACCCCCTGATACGAGTGATGAGGGTGCCGAACACTTGGCAAAAGGCTCTCGGTGAAGTCAGATCTTCCTGACGCCGATTCCAATCAGCGTGTGCTGGTTGCTTCAGCTTGGAATTATAATTGGAAACATACGATTGGAAATGAAGGTGAAAGCACATACATCAAGTAAAGCTCGAAGATAAGACTGATGATTAATGGATCTCTGCGACCAGGAGTGACGGACGGATAAGTAAATCTTCTGATGAATTATCACAAGGAGACTGTATGTTTAGAACGAAGGGGGGGGGGGGGTGGAGGAAAAAACTATTTTTCCCCCCTGCATGATGTGACATAAATAACCCTTCACCCCAGATAGAAACAAGATCGTTGCGCTTTTATGAATCACAAGCAGGATTTTAAGAACTATGTGGGATGGATTAAAACAGGAAAGAAGACTGGAGAATGGTGAGAAAAGTGGAAAATTCTTATGACGCAGTTAAAATATGGCGTCTCCCTAAGACAGGCTTGTCGGAGGAGGAAGGACTGGGGGAGGAGAATCAGGACTGTTCGAATGAGAAGGAATGTTGGAATGCAAGTTTGATCTGACAGAGCCCCCAGACACATTTGATTTATTTGAAAAATAAAGGACAGATCAGAGACTAATCTTGTGTATGGAAACGTTGTACAGAGGCTGTCCCTGATCGATATGATTTTTGGAAGAGTACAAAAATCCACATAGAATGCCAGCTTTCAACCTGCTTGTGAAAATCATCAGAGATCTCAAAGAAAGGAATCTATGATAACAACAAGAAGAGAAAGGAAGTAATAAAGGACTATCCGGATCAAACTGGACAGAACTGTCTAATGAAAGCAGTAAGATAAGTGATGCTGTTTTGGACTCGAGCGGAGCTTGATGTATGGGCACCCCCAACAAAATTTAAAATTTGGCTGTATAATTTGGAACTAATGTGATATGATAATGTGACGTGATTGGTCTGTTAATAAAAATTATTAAAAAAAAAAAAAAGAGCTGCAGTCCTGTACCTCCACTATGCCATCCCTCAAGGTCTGGGCAAACTGTCCCGCTTGGACTACTGCAATGCGCTCTATGTGGGGCTACCTTGAAGGTGACCTGGAAACTACAGCTAATCCAGAATGCGGCAGCTACACTGGTGACTGGGAGTGGCTACCGAGACCGTATAACTCCAGTCCTGAAAGATGTACATTGCCTCCAGTACATTTCTGAACACACTTCAAAGTGTTGGTGCTGCCCTTTAAAGCCCTAAATGGCCTTGGCCCAGTGTACCTGAAGGAGCGTCTCCACCCCCATTATTCAGCCCAGACTCTGATGTCCAGCGCTGAGGGCCTTCTGGTGGTTCCCTCCCTCCACTAAGTGGGGTTACAGGGAACCAGGCAGAGGGCCTTCTCAGCAGTGGCATCTGTCCTGTGGAACACCCTCCTATCAGATGTCAAGGAAACAAACAACTATCTGACTTTTAGAAGATACTTTAAGGCAACCCTGCTTAGGGAAGTTTTTAATGTTTGGTGTTTTATTGTGTTTTTAATATTCTGTTGGGAGCTGCCCAGAGTGGCTGGGGAAACCCACCTAGATGGGAGGGGTATAAATAAATAAATAAATGGTGATGATATTTGTCAAAGCGTGCTTTTGTCAAGCCTCTCTTGAGAGGTCACATCTCAGTTCTGTAGCACTACCACAAAGGAGGCCCTGCTCTGTTTCCTTACAATGAACATCTCTTAATGATGGAACATGAAACTGCAGCTCTCCCCAAAGCCTCATCTCCAGAGGAGTAGGCTTGAATGCGAGCTGGTGTTCCCTGTAATACACAGCCCTAACCAATTTAGGATATCAAGATATGTATCTTGAAAAATGCTGGGAAGTATAATGGCAGCCAACACAGCTGAGACAAAACCAGTGTTATGTGCTTCATATAGGCAAATTCTTTCCGAGGGAGCACCGTGGCTATGCTCCCCAAAACTGAGACCCAAATTATAAGTATTTATTTATTTAAATATTTCTGTCCCACATCATCAGCATCCATTTTGTATTATGGACCAGAAATCTAATTCAGATAAAAGATAAAAATACAATATTTACACCATACATACAAAATAAAAACCATTAAACCACAGTTGCAGCAGTTCAAGAAACGGAACTGTACAAATTGCAATTCCAATACCCACCTACCTGGGAGTAAGCTTCAGTTAACTCAGCTGGACTTTTAGGACCACGCTGTAAGCATTCAGCAAATAAGCATTTCTAAAGCCAGAGAAGGCAAGGTAGTATTGCATGGAGCCTTCCGGGTCAGTGCCATCGACTAATGGCGGATTCCCTCCAAGCTCCGGAGGGAATCGGCTCCGTAGGAGCTGGGTCTGGCCGCTGCGGCGACGCGGGGACACCTAGAAATCACAGGCGCTGTAGCCTGTGAACCTGGTGACTCGGCGGGCACCATTTGCGCCCCCCCGACCCGCGAAGGAGCCTTTTTAAAGGCTACGGAACGGTGGACGGGCTGAGTGGCGCGGTGCTGAGAGTCGACTGCTCCTCCTGTGGAGTGAAGCCGCGTGCCATGGTCGGAGAGCGCTGACTTCTTCCTTTGAACAATTGGACTTTAAAAGCAACAACCCGTGAGTAATACGGAAATTGGATTTGCAAGGGAAAAAAATTTTTTGAATTAGGCACGATCGGGGAAGGCGCAAAAAGGAAGTCCGTCTCCCCGTCCTGTAAATAATTTAAAGCAAGGACTAACTAACTAAGGTCGAGAGAACGTCTTCTTCTCTACTGAGTAAAAGATATTAATTTCACGATTTGGCAGTATAAGTAATTTTACTGGAGGATAAGAGCTAACTTTGAGAGCTGAAGTGTCACCCCCCCGGACCCGGGAGTGATCCGTGAGAGAGCCTGTTGAGGAGATATAGAAGAGTTTGACAGCTGTCAAAGTAGCTGTCAAGAAGGAAAAAGAGAACTTGGTTTTTGCTGTCTCTGCTGGATATATTTGTTACAATTTGGTTATTTTGTTGAAAACAAGGAAGAATTGATACAAACTAACTTGACTTTTGGATTTGAACTGGAAGGGAGATAAGTAACCAAAATCCATCTAGAGGGGGTTTTGGGACATTACAAGAATGGCTGAAGGAGGAAAAACTCAAGCTAAATTGGACAGAGTGTTTCTTCTCTTGGGAAAGTTACAAGGCCAAATTGATGTTTTGGCTACCAATGTGGCAGCTCTGGACTTAGCAGTAAACAAATTCATTGAATTTGATAAGGACTTGACTCAGGATGCCCATGCAGCTGGACAAGAAGAGAAACTTGAGAGATTTGAGAGTGTGGAAAAAGAGACATATGTTGTTTCTGAAGAAAAGGAAGGAGGAGATGTAATGTGGCAAATGACAAAGGAGAGCCAGAGGCCTGACATGATGGTTACAAAGCAAAATAAGTACTGGATGATGAAAATTTGGTCTGAATTGGAGACTGAAGAACGGAGAGATCTCCTTATGTGGAGATCTGAAGACCTATGGATTACAAATTTGATTAAGGTGAAAGTTGGAGCTTTTGGGACATTTGGACTTAAAAGGAGTAAGAAACAAGATTTGGGCTCCACTTTTAAGTATGGAGGTCTGGCTGGAAGAAACATGAACCCTACTGGGATAGAGCTTCTCCGAGATCTGGTGTTTAACATTAAGGACTATAAAAAAAAACCAGCAGAGAGGAACTGAGAGAGAATTAAGAGCCTCGGACGTGAGGTCTCCAGGCTGATAGTAGACTAAGACTGATGGACATTTGTTGGGGATCAAAACCAGGAAAGGGGGGGTGGGGTTTGGGAATCCAAAGGGTGTACAATTATATTCTGTTTCCTTTTTTATTTTGTTTTGCTATTGGTATGAAAATTGGGGAATTCGTGGAAGGGAATTTGGGTCAACTTTAGAAAAAGGTTTTAAGAATGAGCACTGATGTACAAATATTGATGTTTATAAGTTTAAAGTGGTTTTTCTAAAATGAATTAAATTTAAAAAGGTTAAGAATTGGGGACAATAACTTGTTGAACTAATAATTTGAATTGGAATACAAGAAGGGGAGGTGTGGGGAAGTCTGGGAAATATGTTATTGAAAATAAGGATGTAAACTTTATGTGTTTTTAACTTTTTTGTTTTTTGTTTTTTGTTTTTTTCATTTTTAATGTAATAAGGTGAAAATTTCAATAAAATATATATTAAAAAAAAGCCAGAGAAGGCAAGGTAGTATTGCATGGAGCCTAAAATATCTCGATGTGGGAGCTAGGCAGGATGCCCTGGAGCATGACAAAGGCAAGGAGCCACCATTGAAAAGGATCTCTTGCTGGTCATCATGTGTCATGGTGAAGTTGGTTGTGGTACCCAGAGAAAGGATTTCCACAGGTAGGTTTATTCCAATGACAGATGTAGTCTTGGCTTGGCTTTAGCATCCTAGTTTAGCTGCCCTGTTCTGGTGCAGTGTGTGGGGTCTGTCTTACAGAAAAGTGAACATAGAGGTGTTCCTCGCTACACCTCTCTATTCCATTGCCTCCAGCATGGTTCAAATCTGGTTATCAGAGCTGGGCTGGGAGAAAAGTGCTTCAAGCAACGGACCATAGGGAGCCAAGGCAAGGGTGCAGAGTGGCGTTGAGCAACCACACATTTTATTCTCTTGTAGAAATAGACACAGCCCAGCTGCTTAATATCACAATGAGGCAGATACATGAATAAAACTAGGGCCCTGTCAGGTCTGTTTAGCCTGGAGTTAACGTGAAGCGCTTCAAAGGATGTCCTTTAAAATGGTATTTACATCACGGACTTTAATGTGAAATATGTTTGGTGCTTTAAAAAAGGTTTTCCACCCGCCGCCTTGCCTCCCTTACCTTCTAATTTCAATGCCACCTTCCCTTCAGCACTGTCAGGAGTATGGAGAACAAAACACGTATACTCCCCGGCATCCTCCTCCCTTACGTCCGAGAGGTAGAGGGTGGCGTTTCCCTCTGGCAGCCGCCTCGCATCAAGCACTGCTCCCCTCGGTCTAAACACTGTGATGCTGGTATCGAACTTTGCAACGTTTTTTCCTCTCAGCGACCATCTCACAATCAGGAAATCAACGTTTATGGGCCTGGGAGGGTCTAAGGAGAAGTGGCAAGGCAGGGATACATTAGAGTGTGGCCCTGCCTGGACTGGGGATGAAGGGACTTGGATTATCACGGCTGCCCCTGAAAAGGACAAAGAAATACTGTTAGACTGTAATTAGACTGGACCTCCCTCGCAGGCTAAAGCCATCATAAGCCAGTTTTAACTTTTAACTTCACTCAGCTCTCACCTGTGGCTATTATTATTATTATTATTATTATTATTATTATTATTATTCCGGCCTATACCCAGAGGCCTCAGGGCAATTCACATAAAAAGAGCCAAGAAGCTGGCAACTCCTGAGCCAAGCTGGTACCAAACGTATTGCTCTGGTCTGCTTTGGACCTCAACAGTAAGGCCAAGAGGGGAGTCTTGCGCCCCTCCCCACCCTGCCGTTGAAGGAAAAAGAAGTTTCCTAGGAACACAGGAAGTGCCTAATACTGAATCAGACCATCAGTCCACCTAGGCCAGTACTCTCTACACTGACTGGCAGAGGCTCTCCAGGGTTTCAGACAGGAAACCTCTCCTGGTCCTTCTAGGACTAGGCCGCCTGGCCGCCCGCTTCCCGGCTCCTGCTGGTCTTTGTGAAGCCGCCTCTCCCTCCCTCCCTCCTCCTCCATTGCCCTCGCCCCCAGGAGCCCCCCCAACTGGCAAGGGCCCTCCGGGTGAGGGGATGCGACTTACATGCACCCTGCAAGGAGAGCAGCAAACACGAGAAGCTGGACATTTTGGGGCCGCCTTGCTTACTTTGTATTCTCCAGAAAGGATGGGAGCGCAATGTGCACCTGAGAGACAAAAGTTCAGTTGAACTGTGACTCCCGGGTGTCAGATCAAAACATTCTGCTTTTAAGCAAGCCAGCCCAGGCAGGCGTATAGAAGTTGGGCGTGTTTCGTTTCTTTTTACAGTGGAACCTCAGTTTTCGAACGCAATCCGTTCCGGAAGACTGTTCGAGTTCCAAAATATTCAAAAACCGAAAACTCAATACGGAAGCATCAATACAATAGGGAAACTCAAAACGGAAGCCATGTGGTACGTTTGACTTCTGAAAAGTGTTCAAAAACTGAAGCAGTTACTTCCAGCATTCGGGTTCCGAAACGTTTGTCAACGGAGAAGTTTGAAAACCAAGGTTCCACTGCAGTTTATACTGGTGATCTCAAAGTCTCCTTTGCATATTTTAAAATAATGTTCTTCACGATGTTCTGTTTGATATTTTTGTGAGCCACTTAGAGGTTTTCTTAACACCGAGTGGTATATATGAATGTTGTTAAATACAGTGGTAACTCGGGTTACAGACGCTTCAGGTTACAGACTCCGCTAACCCAGAAATAGTACCTCGGGTTAAGAACTTTGCTTCAGGAGGAGAACAGAAATCGGGCTCCGGCGGCGCGGCAGCAGCAGGAGGCCCCATTAGCTAAAGTGGTACCTCAGGTTAAGAACAGTTTCAGTTTAAGAACGGACCTCCAGAACGAATTAAGTTCTTAACCTGAAGTACCACTGTAATTTAAAATAGAATGTGTTGCACCTGCTTTTAAAAAATGGTTGCCGAGAGGGGAACGTCACCTTAGTTTTTCGATGGCTGATCAAGCGCCGTGTTCTCAAAACTTTCTGCTTCCGGCCTTGAGGATTATTGAGGCCTAACAGTCACAAAATGGCAGGGCAGAGGCAGAGCAGGTCACAAACTAGAGGCAGAGTTTGCCATAAGCAGCTGGCAGTCACAGATGTCCTTCTCTGTTAAGAATGATTTGTAGTGGCCCAAAGCTTATTAGGGAGCCCATAGGTGCTAATTCCCTGGGTCCCTGTGTGCCCGAGCACCCACAAATTCCCCATGAAGGGGCCAGGCACCCACAAATTTTGGTGCATGTGGGCATTGGGACAGTGTGCTGTTCCCCTAAGCAGCATTTAATGCTCTTTCAAGGACAGATGATTTCATTGTTGTTTAGTTGTTTAGTCGTGTCCAACTCTTCGTGACCCCATCGACCAGAGCACGCCAAGCACTCCTGTCTTCCACTGCCTCCCACAGTGATTCTATGATTTTGTGGAATTGAAGAGTTGGAAAGGACCCCGAGGGCCGTCTAGACCAACCCTCTGCATTGCAGGAATCTTTTGCCCAACGTCAGGCACTGGTGCTGTCAATTCATTTCTCCCTAAACAATTGCCATTTAAGTGGCCCTCTAAGGGCATAATATGCGTTTTGAAAAAGTTTTGAAAAAAGATGTTGTCACCAAAGATGAAAGGTGTTATTAAAAGCTGAATTCTGTACATGCTTCAATTTGTGGAACAATTTCCCCCGCTAAGTACGGTAGTTAGCCAAATCTCCCAAAGGTTATTGTGATACGCACACCCCCAGATCCTTGCTTGTTGTTGCCTTGGGGTGTGTGTGTCTTCATGCATTTATGAGCATTGTGCCAATGCAACAGTTTTGATTGGATAAATGTATTGTGATTCTTAACAGGGGCTGCCCCTCAGGCTTGGAGATGTATGACATGTAGCAGATCACAGGTTATTTGGGGTGAAGATAAAGTTCTCTTTTTACATTTTCTGAGAGCTGTGTTTCGAACTTCCATGCAAATTAGGAACTGGGAACAAGTGAGCAACTTCAGCAACATCCTGATAATCACATTAACTGGCTACATTAACATTACTTGTCACTGTCTGCACTTTTCTGCATTTCATTTCCTTCTTACCTCACTGTTTGGTATCCACCCCCACCATATCTGCAACTCAGCATAGGCTTGATGCACAACCAATTTATTTCATATTTAAGGTGCCGCCAGCTTCTTTGTTGCTGTCATTCTTATAGCATTCCATAGCAGGAGAGCAATGACCATGTGCAGCTCCCTGTCAGTCTCCATTTTGTTTTATCTTTTTAAAAGAAACAACAGCACAACCACTGCCAGCTTCCAAATTTTGAGAGACCCCCAGGCCTTTCCCTGCATCAGTGGGGCTCCTTGAGTACTTGCCTGGCTTCAATGGTAGCAGCAACTGTTTTAATTTATCACTGCCTCCTGTGGATCCTGCCACCTGAGGTGGTCGCCTCATTTTGCCTCATAGGTGGGCTGGCCCTGTATTAGAGGTGCTACCTCTTCAGAAGTAGCAAGCTTTGTCCTGGAAAGCCCTCCCTCTCATCTCAGCTGTTTAATGCAGGCAAGGGAAATGACTTTGTACATTTTCAAGGGAACTGTTGTCTTCTTTTTTGTATGTTGTAAGAGCAAAACAGAATTATAAGCTCCTTCTTTCTCCCTTCCTGCTCAAGGGCCAAGAAAAAACCTCGGGAGCAGGCCCATTTTACATTAGGTAAAACAGATGTGGGAAGCAACAGAGAGCCCACAATACTGAAGTTTATTATAGAATTTCAGTTTTATTTTACAGGATATGGCAGCAGGAGAAATGGCAAAGTAAGATGGTAGGCTGGGGAGACACACACATCGTGTGAGACACAAAGTACCCACCCCCGACAATGCCTACCTTTCCCCATATGAAAATACAAGTATGCATCAACTCACAATGAAATCAATGGTGAATTAAGGCTAGAAACAGACAATTGTGTGTACCCCCGCCCCATAGCTGAAGGTGGTTTGAAAGAGAGGTTGCTCATTGTATGTGCTCATTCCACTTTTGTCCATGGAAGGCTACATTCAGATATAGGTGACAATGTCTTGTTTTCTGCTCTGGTGGAACTACCTATATAGGTAGCAGTGTCTTTTTTTCTGCTCTGGGGCAACATCCATTGTAACAGTATGCAATAATAATAAAAAATGGAGCCATATGGATAGGCACTGCTTACAGGATTTTGAAATGTTAGACTATTCCTGACCAATACACCAAGTCTCAAACAGATGATGCATTCAGTGGCGCAGCATGGGGGGTGCAGGGGGGGCCGGCCGCACCGGGCGCAACATCTGGGGTTAGGGCAAATCCACAGGTTAGGGGGTGCAAATCCACGGGTTAGGGGGCGCAAATCCACAGGTTAGGGGGCGCAAATTACTTGCCTTGCCCCGGGTGCTGACAACCCACGCTACGCCACTGGATGCATTGGACAGCTTGACAAGGGTAGGAGAGTGTGGTTTTGTAATCATTGTAGGGGTCAGCCAATCAGCACTCTGCACAGCCAGTTGGGTTGAAAGGAAGGAGGTACCTTCATGATTGTCACAAGGGCTTAACAGTCAGGACTTTGCACAACTGGTTTCTGGAAAGAAGGACCAATTGCGCCAGAGTTTGATTCTCTGAGGAAATATCTACATCTGGCTAAAAATGTGTGTGTGCAGATCCACATCAGCCTAACCACTCTAGAACACCAACAAAATCAGCTTTTGTATTATTTCAAAGTTTGGCTGGAGGTAATAATTGTGGAACAAAAGAAAGGTGTGTTTCTTCCACTAGAAATGGCTTCTCTTTACTTTCAACTCTTTAAAAAAATGTGCTTGCATATCTCCAGCTCAGTCTTTCTGCTTCCATTTCAGATGTGTAGGACTCCATACTGCTCCTAGTCCTGGAGATCAAACCCTGGAATCCGATTTCTGGACCCCCTCTTCTAGTATTCTGGAAGCACCCCTCACTCCTCTGCTCCCAGAGGATCCAGAGTGCCAAGACGAGAAGAATAGTTTGTGTGGTCCCAGTTTCTGGGTAGAAACATTGCGTCCTGGCTGAGAGAGGAAAGGAATTGCCGAAGGTTCAAGCTCCTGAGCCTGCCTCCCCAACGCCTTGGCTCGTTCTAGTCTGAGCACAGCATCCCCCCTCTAAGATCAACCCCGAAAGGTATGGAGTGATGTTGCCGTGGGAGACCAAAGGCAGTGCCTGTGAAAGAAACAAAGGAAAGTAGAGGTTATATAAATCCTGGGTCCTGGTCTAAATCAGAGCAGGACTTCTTGTATGAATTCTGTGCAAACGTGGAAGTTGCTATTATTGAAGTCATCAATTTGAGAGTCTCAACTTCTATTTAAGTGTGTGTGTATGAGTGTGTGTGCGCGCACACACACACACATAGAAACAATGCTATTTTTCTAGAAAAAGAGGTGCCAGAACTCACCATGAACACCTCCCTTGTTCTCTTATAATGGCTATGGCACCCACCTGAGAGGTGCCGGAACTGAGTTAGTGAGTTCTGGCTGAAAAACATGCCCCTTATATAAATACAAGCTTCTAGACCTGTGGATGGAAAGACAGCTTGAAAGTGCATGGGCAATGCCTAGTGAAAGTGTCCCAACTCTCCTAGAGCACAATCCTCGACTCTCATCCACCTACCTTCTCCACATGAATCCATGTTGCCTTCCTTCCGCGAACTGACACTGTTGGGGCTCTCCATATTCTCATAGGAATCGGCATCTGCAAGGAGCAGGGGGGCTGGTCAGAGATGAAGCGAGCCTGAATTCCAGTTCCTTAAACAGGGGCCTATGGGACTAAGGATAATTGGCCAAACATTTTTTTAAAAAGACTGACTATAAAAAAACCAACAGATGTAGCTTTCCCTAATTTATAAGGAGAATGATTAGGAAAACTTGACCTGCTGGATTTCTTCCCGTCATGTGCCCAGCCGCTCTAATCAACTGGTATAATAGGGATTAGAAAACGGTATCTCCCATTTCACTTGGAGGAACAATCCTCAGAGGTCGTTTCTAATGTCTACTGACCAACAGCATTGAATACATGAAAGAACAAAGCTGGAAAACTTGGGCATCAGCTCTCCTACCCTGATGCTCACCCTGCCTGGAGATCCTGGGAGTTTTTCTTTCCAAACTGCTAGATTCTATTTCCCTCTTAAGTTGCTCACAGGAGTTATGTCCCATTGGCACTGATGCTTGCCAGCGCTGGGTGGCATGTGACTGTGAATCAGCATTTTGAAATTCCCACAGTGCCCCAGATAATATTATTGGGGCATTCCAGGGCATTATTGGAAATGGCACTCAC